ATTTGGGGGGAGAAATCAGTGATTTAGGTGGATTTATACCTTTCCCAACCTTATTTGAATGTAAATAATTATAACAAACCCAACATGGAGTTGAAGGTTGTGCCTACAATAATTGGCACACAGGGAACTTCTTACATTTATATCTTGGTGAACCTATGAACTTTTCAGCTGATGCTCATATTTAGTGCTATAGTTTATGGTACAGACCACTCTCCTTCATCTAGGGTAGTCTCTACTTTTATCTTCATGAAAATCTCCTCTGGACTATACATGTCATAAAATCATTCATGTATAGGAGAAATGTCACTAGAATTGATTAGAATATTTATTACAATATATGCAAATTCAGGGTTTTTTTTTTTTACATATTTTTAGGAGAAATGTGTGAGTAATATAGGTGAATCTTATTCTGATTCTTGATAGAATGACTTCTTTCTTCCTAGAAAGTCTGAGACCGTCATGCCATTCTCTTAGAATGGGTCTAATTTTGTAAAGTTTATTGTTTGGGAGGAAGTTTCAGAACTCTTGCCACTTGTTTAGAATGCACGAGTTAATAGTTACTTTGAAGTCTGTATAAGGGATTTTCAAATTTGAAATGCTCATTTTTAGGGATTCTTTTGTTTCCAGGTCAGCTTTTCCATTTCTGAAGATGCCAATATGGCCAGAAATTTATAAGTTAATTCCTATTTTAAAAGTAACATTTCACATTGGACAAGATGTGGATTATTGCCTTATTGGTACAACGAAGTAGGGGGGAATGTTACACAAACATATTTCTGTTCACTGAGTTGTTGCTTCTTTTAGAATTTTGGTAAAAGTGAGTGAAAGTGACTTTGAAGAAGGGCAACATTTCTCCTTTTACTTTTTTCTGATTATTCCAAACAAATGGAAAATACACTCCCCCTCTTGGAATGCTTTCCCAGGGATGTCTGTCTTCCCTGGTGGTTTGGTCCCATCTTTTTTCCTTGTGTCTGCCTCTCATTAATTGTTATGGTAATTTACCCACACATGCATGGACTCCCTCCCAGCTATAAATAGGAGCAGGTACTGCTTTTTGGAGAGGGAAGTTTCCAGCAGTCAGCTCTGATAGGCGGATCGAACATTCTTGCTGTAACACTCTTGTTTGTATTATTGTTTCTGTTAATATATTTGTTTAACTCAATTCCTCTCTTCGTGTCTTTATTTCTGGCCCTAAGAAGGCGACAACACTGATATTCTCCTCTCAGTATTCTCATGATATAGTTTTATCTATATGTTAAATCACATGATTTCATTTCAATGTTACCCAACTTTTCTTGGCTAAGCCATGCCACTGAATATCTCCCAGACAAGCTGTATTGAAATGGCTTTGATCCTCAACTGGTATATTGCTATTGTAGCCCTGTCCCATACAAGACTAATTCTTATAAATATTTATTGATATATACAAAATTAAACTTAGTATGGCACAAGGTCATATTGTAGGATTTAAAGGAAAGATATCTTCTAAATGGAGACTATTTGCTTCTTGTTAATTTATTTTATTTGGTTTTCCTTTTCATTTTGTATTATTTATTCTTTTCGTTTTTTGATGTTTTATTAACATAGTAAAACATTTTTGCTGGGGGGATTTGCTTAGGTCGCTTATTTAATAGTTTGTTTTGGTCTGGCAAGATAAATAAAGCTATTTATTCGTCCAATGTTCAGATAGTTTGCCGTAGTCTATTCTGTTATTTTGGCAGGTGGACAGTTTTTTATTTATTTGGATTGATTATTTCTACTTGTTTTTGTTTGTTTATGCTTATTTTTATTACTTCTAACAGTTTAAAATAACCGTTAGCACTAATAAAAATAAGCACGGGCAATTTGTAAGTTTATTTATGCATTGGGATTAATTTTTATTAGTTTTTTTTTATTATTTACTTATTTTTTAGTTTGTATATTTACTTATTTTTTAGTTTTTAGTTTTTATTTTTATTTTTTAGTTTTTAGTTTGTATATTTACTTATTTTTTAGTTTGTATATTTTTATTTATTCGATTTTTGAGTAATGTAGCGATGATTTTATATATATATATATATATATATATATATATATATATATAAGATATGGTGGTTATCTTTTTTTATTTAATTTTCCATGTGTTCTTATAATTTTCTTCTTTTCTGGCCATAAATTATGTAGAAATTGTACAAATATTTTGTCTGTCCAAGCATTTTCAGCTATACTTTTAGTCATTATCAAAGATGATTTTTTATTTTTTACTTTAAACTGAATCTATGAATTACTTTATGTATGTATCTAGAGATATAGAAATGTTTTATTTTCCAAACATGGTCACCACATTGTGGATGTATTCATAGTTGTTATTACTGTGTTGTTTTTTTTTCTATTTTATTAATGATTCTGCTACTATTTTTAGCCTTTTTTTTATATGTGGATGAGGCTTGTAGCGAACGCCCGAGCGCCCTCGTATCAAAAAAGGGTGATGAGGTCACGAGAGGCCCGCTAGCATTTTAGAGGACCTTAAATGTGACGGTGAAACAATATGGACGACAGAACGAGGATATATATGATATATGCTAATTTATTCTAGAAAAGAAAAAGAATTAAAAGTGGTCGGAACGGTGGAGGTGCAGAAGTTCTAGTGCAGGCATTGATGGTCGAGGTTGGTTGTTACAGGTGATCGCTGTTGGTCATGCAGGTGGTCGTTACAGGTGATCGCTGCTAGTCATGCAGGTGGTCGCTGCAGATGATCACTGTTGGTCGTTGCAGTTGATGTTGGTCATGGCTGGGATGATCGCTGTTGGTTGTTGCAGTTGATGTTGGTCATAGCCGGAATGCCAACTTGACGTGTTGGGGAGGAGAGAGGAGATGGCGCTGTTCGGCATGTCAAAGGTCCAGTGCAGGCGTTGCGTGTTTGCCGGTCGAGTCCGATATTAGTAACCTCCTGTAATAATTACTAACATAGTGTACAGGAAAGGTTAAGGACGACGTGCAGGTAGCCAGTAGGGACGGAATGCTGAGTGTCGAACAGGGCCAAGGAGCCAGGAGTAGTAGGCAAAGGAGAGAGAGAAGGAAAGTTTCCAACTATCGTCAAGTTGGCAGACAAAAAAAAATGGGAGCATAACTTAATAAGCAGCCCGGTGGTCGACGTTCCTGGCCACGAAGGCCAGGAGTCTGCGTATCCGACCGTAAAGATATACAAAAAAAACAATGTTGCATTTTTATTACAAAAGTATTTATTTTAAAACTTAAATTGTTCTTAATATAGTGGGACTCTTTTATATGCTAAATAATAAAACTTTCAATTTTTCATAAAAAAATTAATGAAAATTATTGTACTAAGTTATGCACCCTAGTAAAACCAACTGTATTTTGTACCCACTTACCTGTTTGCACTTCTCACCAAAATTTGGTTTTGATTGGTCAATGTATGGCTATTTTAGAGGATGGCCAGACAGTCGAATGGATGGACGGATTAAAGGAAGTCACAGAATTTTATATATAGATTGCTACAAATATTCAGTTAACTTTTTATTGATGACAAATAAATAATTTGGCATAGATATGAAACCATCCTTGGCACATTTAAGTAAAAACTTGCTGGTCTGATTATATAGAATACTATGGGTCTATAACTCTGAGAAGAGTAAATATTCCAGATTTCTGCCCTTTTGGTAGGACTGAGAATAAAGTGGCAAGATTACTAGCAAAGGGGCAAGTAGTCCAAAAGGTACCTACTTTCAGAGTAGATACATGCAGACTCGGTCAGATATAAACCCTATATGTTTACCTTTTTTTACACTAGTACTAACAGGACTTATAGCTATCTTTTTTACTCTAGTGTAAATTGGATATTTGTCTACATATGTGATTCTAATGTATACCATCCCTATATCTACCATTCTGACACCAGTAAAAAAAACCTGACTAATATGTACCATTTTGAATCTAGTATAAACCAGTATCTACCTTTTTTTTCTAGTGTAAACCATGCCTACCTATATATCTCTAATGTACACTGGACTGATATTTAGTTTTGATGCTAGTGTAAACCTGGACCTGTCTACTGATTTGACTCTAGTACAAACCAGATCTATGTCTGTCTCTCTGACCCTCATATAAACTAGATCTATGTGTACCCTTTTGAATTTAGTATAAACTGAACCAATCTATACTATTTTGATTCTAATTTAAAGCAGACCTATTTCTACCATTTTGACTCTAGTGTAAACTGGATCTATATTTACCTTTTGACTTAAGTATAACCGACACCTATGTCTACTTTTTGACTTAAGTATAAACCACACCTATGTCTACCAATTTGACTTTAATGTAAACTGGACATATATTTATCTTTTTTTTTCTCTAGTGTAAACCTGATCTATGTTTTTCTTTTCCAGTTTAGTTTAAATCAGTGTGTAATCTTTCTTTTGAACAAGTCATTTTGATTTTTGTTCTGTGAGCTTTATACTCAACATTAAATAACCCAACAAGAATTGAAATATCATTAAATTCACTAACCAAAATATTCCTAATTCTGTTGAAGTGAACATCTTTGTATCTTTAGTGTTGTTAGCACATTTCAGCAAGTTTGCTTTTTAGCCTTCCTCATAAAGAAGGTTATTTCCTCTTTTCTTACAGATAATACATTTGGTGTAGGCTGAAGAATGGATTAGCTGAAATATTGTGGTAGTACCATTAAGAACAATATTAACTTTCTATACTCTTTTAGGACAATTGAACTGTTGATGCTTTTATAACAGTATTCCAAGCAGGGCATTCTATAACATTCTTTGGGTGTATCAATAATATCCCAACTGAATTAGTTCATAGCAGCAATATTGTCATCTTGTGGAGAAAACAGATGAGACCTTTTCCCTTCCTTTACAAAGTATTCACTCAAAGAAGCCTGTAGAATGAATTTGCTGAAATGTTTTTGGTAACAGCATCAAGAACACAAGGGCAAAATTAGAAATGATTAGAATTTTTTTTTTCTCCTGCAGTTGATCTTCCAAATGTCTTCAGATGTAGTTGGCAGATGGACTGTATCTCTGGCTGATGGCATCCACAAAGTAGAATTTGAACATGGAACTCTTTCTGGTAAACGAGTTATCAGGGTGGATGGAAAGGTAAGATTATTCTACATGAGGCTCACACAAAAGAGTCAAGTGGATATTTGTGGTTTTTGAGCACCCTGAATAATTTTCAGCTCTGTTATGGAACTGTACAGGCATCCCTCAATGAATGTGCATTTGATTAATGTGTTTTTGATTAGTGTGCTAAAATTTTTATAAACTAAAATTCAAATTCAAATGCATATATAATGCCCAGTTAGTGTGGTAAAACATTCTTCAGTTTAACCGTAGTAATGAAAATTTTTTTTTTTTAGATACTCATGTACAAATTAGCAGCACTAATCGAGGGATTCCTCTATTAATGTTATTTGTACTTAAGAAGAATATTAAAACAAAAATTTCACATCTAGGTCTGGAAACCCAAGTCTGCAGTGACAAAATTCTTGAAAAGAGTTTAAATTTTGAATTTAAATATCATTTGGGGGATTTTCAGTGCCAAAAATGGATTCAATATCACCCTTCAAAAACATAAGAATAGAAGTCTAGGTCATGATTTTCTGATGAATACAAGGAAAATTACATTGAAAACTGACAGATGGTGTCAAAAGTTGGTAATGATCAATTTAATATATGGAAGGAACTGAGTATGTTTTAAACATATTCACAATCACAATTTCCTTATATTTTGCAGATTGAAATTATTTTAAAGTTTGGGAACTTACACTAAAAAGGTGAAGAACATTTGTCTTGGGCAAACATTTGTTCTTTTTTCGAAGATAAAATGCAGGCAAAATATTACAAAAGATTGTGTTAATTTGACTGAATTTTGTGCTGTGTCACGCCTCCAAATTGACTTGAAAAAAATTGTCAAGTTAAAACTATTACTTATAATGATCACTTCAATGAGATATTAATAACTTTGCTAGCAAAAAGAGGCAGAAAAATCAATGATCTAGAACTGATCATCTAAAAATAAATGATTAAACACATGTAAGTTTTGATTAAATTTATACAATCATAACTTGACAGATAAAAGTTAGGACAAAGTAAAACCAGGTCTGAAATCCCAAGATTGTTTACTTCCAGGCTAGATATTGGATACATTACTTGAAAAATCCTCCAAAAATGCTAAATGTTTCTTTCAAGAACAGAAATGCCAAATGTTTGCCTGCAAGACCAAAAATGCTAAATGTTAGCTTGCAAGACCAAAAATACCAAATGTTTGTTTGCAAGACAAAAATGCCAAATGTTTACTTTCAAGACCAAAAATGCCAAACATTTGCTTGCAAGACCAAAAAAGAAATGTTTACATAGACACTTAAAATTAACTTTATTAACCTTTAGCATTCTACATTATTACTTTTCCTTGCACAATATACAGTGACTCCTCAAATACAAACCTGTCCAGGGTATGATATTAAACTGTATCCGCATCCTGGATAAGATGATAGACTACGCCCGACAACAAGACCTATGATCAGGAGGTTTTGAGGAGCATGGAACCACCTCTTAATTGCTGATGTTCCCAGGTCCACCCTGACTTGGAGTGGTAACACCTGTTAGGGCCCCAGCTATAGGCAAATAGTTAACCCCTAAACTGGGGTCAAAACACTATGAAAGTGTAAAAATAGGTTTTAATACCAGAAATAAATTTTTTGTAAAAAATTATTACCAGCAATACATTATTACCAGCAATACTTTTTTGAAAAAAAATATTACCAGCAATATATTTTTGAAAAAAAAATATTACCAGCTGTACATTTTTTAAAAAAATATTACCAGCAATAGATTTTTGAAGAAAAAAAAAATATTATCCACAATATATTTTTGAAAAAAATATTTCCAGCAAAAAAAAATTTTGTCAGCATTAAATAACCCATTGAGGTTAATATGCCGTAAAACAAACCAAACCAAACCCAAATCAGACCAACCAAATACAAACTGTAATAGCCCTGATCTTGATTTAAGTCAAGGCTGTTTTTTGCTGTTGCTATAGCAAGATGGGACAAAACAATTGTGAAATTTAAATTTATTTGTCGATTGGAATTAACTTCAAGGGCAGGACAAATGCTTTTCTTGGTGACTGAAGTTGCTTAAAGAGTGTTTAAGATTAAAGACTCTCAAAAACTCTAAGCTGGTAGATGAAAATATATTGCTTAAAAACACAGACATCTAATCAAGCATGCATATCCAATAAATATCATGCATATAATGAGAAGAAATAATGTCAGATTATGAATAAAAGAATCCACTAATTCTTTAAAAAATGACTTTGTTTACATTTCATATACAGAAATATACAGGAATAAAAGGTTATCAGATATGGACTTTGAAGTAACTTAAAAAGAGATATACTTTCCATTATAATGATAATTGTATCTGGCTTTCCCACAAAGGCCTTTGTTGCTGGGTCAGTTTAAAGCAGTGGTTCCTAAACAGTGTGGTGTGCTTCATAAGTGTGGCAGAAGGGGATAGCAGGTGAGGCAGAATAATTGAAAGATAATCAAATTTAAAAACAGTTTTAAAAAATTTATCTGCCAAAAATAAATATAATTTCCTAATTTAAATATTATTCTGGATTACTTGTAATTGCATGCATGAGTCACAGTATAAATAATTATAAAGAATTATTGAAAAATTTTATCAATGTGATATTTTTGCATTATATCAAGTATTAAGAATATAGTAACTGGGGTCTGCAAATTGGAGGAGAGAGTTATCAATGATAATGTCCTGACTTTGAATCCACGATTATATCCCTTTAACATTCTCTCTGCTTTTTATTTTCAAATGTACTTTTTATCACATAAAGTTTGGTAAGGCACAAGTAAATTTTCATTCCAAAAATATAACTCAAAGAAAAAAGTTTGGGAACCAGTTGTTTAAAGCATGCCAGGCTATTCACTTGTTTCCTCTGCTTAAGTGGGGTGAACATTCAAACATTGCCAATGGCTACATTTTCTTGCCAGTAGATGAAATATATTGTTTAAAAAGCAGAGATGACTATTCAAACATTTGTATCCACTAAACAAGATGTAGATGGTAATAAGAAACATTTATAATTGCCATACAACCAGCTTGACGGGTTTCCAGCTATTGTGACAATTTTTGTTATGTAAAAAGATGTCCCCTTTTGTATTTTGGCCAGAAATAGCAATTTCTGAGCCTAAATTGTGGTGACCTTTCTTCTTCTTTTATGTGTGATGTACCTTCAGGATATAGGCGATCATGGCCCTTCACATCTTCCTGTCCCTTGTAGCTCTTAATAAGTTTTGTATTTTTGTTTTTCCTCCCAAACCCTGTTCTGCCATCCATTTGCTCACACTCATCAAGTATATGTGCTGCTTTCCTCTGTTCCTCTTTCCCTCAATCTGTTCTGTGAGTATCAGATTTTCCAAGCCTCTCTTCCTCATGTTCCAGAAATTTCAACTGCCTCTTTCTGATGTTAAGTATGAGTTTCCTTTTTGTTTCCATTCTCTCCAAAGCATTGTTGTTGCCCAAATGTTTGGTCCATGGTATTCTCAGTATCTTTCTGTAGAACCACATTTTTGTTACTTCATGTCTCTTCCTCATCTTTGAGGAGATTGTCCATCATTCACTGCCATTTAGTGATCTCAAATGTCAACACTACCTAATCCATATTCATCTTCAAGTTATGCCAACCTTATAATTTTCAATCCTCAAGATCCAGCTATATGACTGGTTGTAAAACACATGCAAGCACACAATTACCAGATTTTTAGGAAGTTATGATTTTTTCACAGGGCTTGAAAATAGAAATCTAAAAGAGATTTGCATCATAACAGCCAATGAAAATGAGGAGGTTCTGAAATATTCTTAGCCAAAGTAAAATGCCCTTCAAAAAAATCTGTTTTTCTCATTTAGTCAGATTCAAAATTAATGAGTTTTGCATATGTTCAGATATAAATTTTTTTTTTGACAACATTTGACAATATACTTTATGAAGGTTGGAAAATGGATTGGCTGATATTTTGTAGTAACAAAAATAACAAAATGTTCTTAAAAATATTGGGAAATGGGTTGGGCCAAAAACTTTTCAGCACTGCCTGATTGTTCCAGATAAATTATGAAAAACAAAAATGGATAGAGCAAAAAACTTTTTAGCACTGCCTGATTGTTCCAGATAAATTATGAAAAACAGAAATGTATAAGGACAAAAACTTTTTAGCACTGCCTGATTGTTCCAGATGACTATGAAAAACAAAAATGGATAGGGACAAAAACTTTTTAGCACTGCCTGATTGTTCCAGATGAATTATAAAAAACAAAAATGGATAGTGCCAAAAACTTTTTAGCACTGCCTGATCGTTCCAGATTAATTATGAAAAACGAAAATGGATAGTGCAAAATTGTTTTAGCACTGCCTGATTGTTCCAGATGAATTATGAAAAACCAAAACAAACAAAACAATTTGTATATATGTTCAGATATACACTTCACACGATATACACATTATTAACAATTTAAAAAAAAAATTGTTGAATCTATTTTCCTTAATTTTCAGGAGATATACCGCGTTGACTGGATGTTTAAATTGGTTGGAACAGAGTATTTTAATATTGGGAAGGTGAAGTGTTCCATAAATATTAATGCCACAACTGGATTTGCTTATGAATATTCTCTGCTGGTTAATGGACAAGTTTTTGAGATTTTCACAGAGAATCAACGCAAAATACTCAATACTTGGATTGTCACGATAGCTGGAAACCCGTTAAGAGTAGCTTTAGGTAAGTAGTTGATTTGTGTTTCAATTGTAGATTTTTATGAATAGATAAAAGGATGAAAATAGTGGAAGCTAGCTGTTAGGGTTATTGCCACATCACATTGAGACACCAGTTCCTATATGATCACTGAAATTAAGCAATGTCAAGCTTGGTCAGTACCTAGATGGGTGACTACTTGGGAGTATCAGGTACTGTAAGCTTGCATATGAAGGTGATTTAATGGATAATGGCTCAGAATTGTTAATTGGGGAGCCAAATTCCAATTCCATTTGGGTTCGTTATATTCACTTACACAAAAATACACTTGGGAAAGTGTTATAGTAAACCCTCCTACAGTAGAATGAACTCTTCCTCCTCTCATAAATACAAACTGCAATAGTTGGAGACCGGGAAGAGTGTGAAGTGAAGTGGAGTAGTAGACGCAGTGCTAATCTACTTATTACTAACAATATTGGTTTGTATATATCTTCAATATATTTTTTCAACCTACCTTCGTCTTCCATGTCTTCCTTTCTGGCCCCTAAACAGTCCACAACAGAAAGTCATGAATCCACCTCTTCTCTCCCCAGCTATGGGTTAATTAATAAGACTTGTACCACTATAGCATTATTATCTCCAAAAATAAAATAAAAATTGTGTACTAACTATTTAGATTTCAGCATTAAATAACCCATGTAGGTTGATATGTCACTAAACAAAAACAACCAATTAGTACTTGAACTAGACAGTATTCTCTGTTGAACTATCTATCTCAATTTGAATTAGTTTTTTGTGCCCTATTTGTGAAATTAAAATGGATTAATTAAAGGGCTAGAAGCTGATTGTTTAGAAAATAAATTCAATTTTTTGCTGCCAAACTCCAATACCCTGCAGTAGTAATGTTGCAATATCTTTTTGAAATGATTAAACTGATCAGTTAGAATTAAACCAAATATTAAAGGAGCCGAATGACTTATTTATTTTCCTTTTATCTTTTTCTTATTCCAGAGAAGGATACTTTAGATATTTGGGTGAATGGTGAAAAAGCAGAGACGACAGTGAGTTCATTATTTATTTTCTATAATTTTTTATTTTTAAATAAATAAAAATAATATTCTATAAATATTGAATAAAGATTTAAGTAAAATAAATATAAATATTTAAATTAGAGTAAATATTCTATATTTTCTTTTGCTACTTATTTAAATTTTTATACACTGATGATGATAATGGGGTTGCTAGGAAAGAGAGGAAATTTCCAGGTTACACCCCCACCCCCATTACAGGCATTAATATACCTGCAATATAGTAACACCTTAATATATGGATGGAAAAGAATAGCTGAAAGAAAGAGGTTGTTTTATACTGATATACCCATACTTATTACTAATTTGTCTCACACAGAGAAACTATAACATGTATACAACAAACAATGTGAAATGGGTCAAAAGAGAGAGGGTCTTACTTGTAATATTTCCCAACAGGAAAAAGGGCAGATTAGTGGTGTCCTTTATGTACCAATTAAGACTATGTGGTTTTTCTCTGTAGGCCATACCACTGCCAACTTGTGACACCGGTCTTTTCCATGGCCTACATAACATTTTGTTTTTCCTCTATTGTTTTGACAACAGAAGTAGCCAACCATCTTTTTTCTTCAATTGGTTCAGAAGATGGGAACGGGCAGACATGTCTAGTATTCAAGAATGACAAATATCAGCTGGTGTGGGCTCCTTATGAAAATCAGTCACTAGCTGTCACATGAATCTCATGACTTTGTTTCAATCAAAGGGAGATAATTACCCTTTGTTTCCCTACAATGACTTTACTAAGTAAAAATGTTTGTAAACTCTAATTTCTGAAAGTCTGAATTTCATTGTAGTGTTGCCATGTCAACTAAAACAACTAAACTAAAACAACCTGGACTGAAATTGAGAACTAAACTACTGGATATTATTTACACTATTTGGACTATCTTTGTTGCCAATTTATTACAACATTTTGGCCATTGTACGCTCCGGCCTTCTTCAGATGGTTGGAATGTCGAACTGAACCCTTTATTTCATTCACTGGATATATATTTGTGTATTTAGGCAGCAAATTTTAGGCATGTCTGATTAAATAAATTACAAACATTATGTCTGTTTATTTTTAGCTAAATCTGTTTGTATTCACAGATTGTAATACAGGGAAAAGTATCTGTGAATATGAAAGATGAGGACAATAGTTCGAATAATGTAAATAGTGTACATAATACCTCATCTCAGAAATATAGGCAGGCATTGCTTAATGCTTGAATATTCTAATTGATCAAAAAATGGCTGATAATAATAATAACTGGTAAAAACATGTAATGATAACAGCAAAAATTGCAATATGAGCAATGGTAAAAAATTACTGCTGAAGGCATTAGATTTATAATACCCAGAAATTCATACATGGCACATTGGATAAAGGTGTTAGTTAGACCCAGCGACAGGACCCAAAGAGTGTGAGTTCAATACCTGGTTAAGGCAGTGGAGAACTTGGAGAGGGGAATTAACAGGAGATAACTGATAACTGACATCCATTAAACATGGCATGTGGAACTAGAACAGTCTACTCCAATAGTCTGAATAACGTAAATAGTGTACATAATACCTCATCTCAGAAATATAGACAGATACTAACCTACTGTAGTTAAGTAGCCACTATGAGAGATTTAAACAAAAAATAATACTCATCAAAGGCTAATGAATTAAATTTTCAAGCATCTAATATAAATCAGCTTTAACAAATTTATTAAACTATTATATTTTTCAAGTTTAAAGACAAAGATTTTTTTCCACTTAAAAATTATTTTAAAATCAATTTACATTGAAGTTCTAAGTGTTATTTCCTAAGTCTAGTTTAGTTTTGGCACAAAGCCAAAGTATGGAGCATTGACTGACAAAGGAATTCACTCCTCAGCAGCTTATTAACCATTACTCTATAAATAAGATGCATCCATTAACAAGTGAATTTGCTACTCAACAGTAATGGTCTGTGAGATCAGTTTGTTAACCATTACCCTATATCAGGGTTCCTTTATAATTATCTCATCAGCCTAACTTAATTTTGGCACACTGCTAAAATTATGATGCACTCCATGAGGATTGAACTGAGTAGTAATAATCTCTAAGACCAAATTGCTAGCCACCACTCAATGGCAGTCACATCCACATTCACTTATAGTTATTTACTAAGCTTATTTTAGTTTGGCACAAGGTCACAAATGTGGGGCACTTAGAGAGGATCAATTGCCTTACTTGGAAGTAATATACTGTAAGACCAGTCTGCTAACCATTGCTCTTATTAATCAAGGTATTCTTATATTTAATAAGTTTTGAAAGTACAACAAAAATTTCCTGTCTTTAGCCCTATGAACCTGATGCCAACACCTTCTCTCCACTCTGACCTCAGTTGGAGTTAAGGACTAGATCTTTTGTTAAACCTTTTCTATGTTGTACAAAATTCAATTCTGACAAAAATAATTTTTCTTCCTCAATATCCTGGATTACCACCCTCATTTTGGCCAAACAATTAAATAATGCATATTGTTAATGTCTATACCTGTCTTTGCCAGTTCATAACTTACAGGTGTGGTAATATAAACAGTCCTTTCACCTTTCCAAGTCAACCTAGCTAGCACTCAAAGACCCCATTAGGTGATATATTTATAACAATGGGTCTCTATTTTAATGTAAATTCTTTCTTCTAAGATACTTATGTTGTACTTGTAAAATCTCTTTCATTATTTCTAATTAATGAATCTTAATTAATTAATTTGAACCAAATTAATTATACTGCCTTCTTCTTCTATGTGCATGCCCCCTTCAGGACATTGTCAATCATGACTCTCCACAATTTTCTGTCCTTTGGAGCTCTTAATAAATTTTGTCTTTTTGAGATCTCTCCTAACCCTTGTTCTGCCATCCATTTACACAAGCTCGTTAGGGGAGGTTATGCACTGTTTTCTTTGTGTTCTGCTTGCCTTCAAATATATCCTGTGAGTGTTAAATTTACCAAGCCCTCTTTATTATGTGCCCTAAAAATTTCAACAATCTCTTCCTGATTGCAACTATAAGTGCCCTTTTTGTTTCCATTTTCTCTAAAACTTTTTTATTGCTTACATGTTTGATTAATAGTATTCTCATCATCCTTCTGTAGAACTATATTTCTGTTGTTTCAAATATTTTCTTCATTTGTCCAGCATTCACTACCATATAGAAAGACTGATATTACATAACAGTTCAGTACTCTTTTCTTCATTTCTAACAAATTTTTTCTGTTTCTTAATACGAATGACATGACTTACCTTGGAATTCGAAACAAGCATGAACACGTTTTGCCTGCAAAGTGATGACAAAAAAGAAATATGGCTGCTATTGAAGACACAATTTATGCATGCCTATCTTGTCAAAGACGAAACAATGTTTGCACACATGCAAATTTTGGCCATCTTGGAATAGCATAAAAAGCGGGGTGCCAGCAGCATGAAAAATTGAAGTCATTCGGCAGACTGTGTGTGTTAGAGTTGGATGTATGGATTGACAGACAGACAAAGAGGAAGTTGAAGTATGCACAGCTGAGTTGGTGTCTGTTTTACAACTGCCCAGTGTAACAGCCAAGAAAGGGAGCCATGCAATCCATTTCCTTGAGGCGACCAAAGAAGGAGAAAAATAGCTGGCCTGCCGGCGAGCGTTGCACTGCACTTTTTGAACCCCTTCATCATCATTTATTTTTCCCTACACTTTGCTTAGCTTTTGGAAGGCATCTTTTGTTGCCCCAATGTATCTTTGAATTTTGGTGTCACACTTTCTGTCCTCTATTAAAACACTTCCCAGATACTTAAATTGATGTACCTGATGGATTTTGGAATTTTCAATTTATAATTCACCTGTTGGGTTGTTTCTTTTGCTGAGAACCATGCATTCTTGCAATTGATGTTTAGTCCTTTCTCATTTTCACACATTCACTACCTTCTATAGGTGTTCTTGTAGTTTCCTTTCTGTATCTGCTATCAATACTGTATCATCTGCATATCCTGTGTTGTTAAGATTGTGGCTGCTAATAAGGAATCCTAGTAGAATCACCTCATTATGTGGGTTGAATAAGTCCAGTGAAAAGACATATCATTGTCTTACACTCCTTTCTATATTTCTATATCTACTGAACTCATTGTCTATCTTTTGTGATGTTGGATGACTTCACTTGTCACTTTTGCTGTGTCAGGTGAAGCCCGTTATTGCTTCCAAAAATGCTCATTATATTTAAAATTTCATAGATGCTGGTACTAGTAGTAATGCCTTCCAATAATATTCACACTAGTAATACTTGTTCAAGTAGTAATCGCCAAATAGTATAATGCTCAGAACAGAATCATAATCTGTATAGTATTAGAATAGAGAGAGTGAATGTATAGCAAGAGTGGATAGATAAGGAGAGTGAACAGTGATCACCACGCTACTTCCTATTTATTCATTTCCTTTATGATTATGTGATCTACTTAATAATGAAATCACTTGTGTTGTTCACTGGCAATCTAGTTTCAAACCACAGTGTCAGCAACAACACTTACTCTTCTACAACACTATCCATATATAGGCAATTTGCTCCCAGTATAGGTTGTGGACTATTCTAATATTCTTCCCAGAAAGAAGATACTTCTAAAGAAATCTCTCTTTTGTAACACTTTACAAAAGGAAAGGAAGCTGTGGAGAACTATGACTACCAGCATCTTGAAGGGTAACAAATTAAAAAAAATGTGTATAATAGTCTCAGACATTTTGTAGCAAATTTTATTTTAGCATATAATTAATGCTGATTCCTTTTTCTCTTGCAGGCAGAGTTTGTAGAAAATGGTACCGAAACACATTTTGAAATCTGCCACCATTCTGCCTATATCAAAGCTAGCAGCAGTGGCAACCGGAAATCTGGAATTGTTTACACCTTGTTTGTTGACGAAGAAGAAGTTCCAACTACTTATCCTGATTTCAGTGGCACACCATAAATATTTTCTTTGTATTAAGGAGAATATTGAGAGCTTTTTAATCAGATCTTCCCAAAGTACTTTAAGTTTTTTCTTTTCTTTTATTGCAGACAGAATGAAAAGAATTTTTCTGTGTGTGTATGTCCTGATGACAGACCCAGTTTTAAATATGACAGCAAGTGCAATTAATGACTGTTGCCCTAATTCCAGGTGGGAATTACAGCATAGTAACTAATAATTTTATCTTGGTAAATCTCAATTAGTCTTATAATAACAGTAAGGCTCATTGTACTAAGTATTAGTTTTATTTGAATAATTATTAATTCATTTTCTAATAAATGGTGTTATTTTCATACCAAAAACACATAAATGGGCGTATACACCTACACACACAAGTGCACCCACACACACATGTATATAGACAATATGATATACACACTCTATATATCAGACTAAGAGTGGGTAATTGAATGATAAAATGGAAAAATCTCTTATATTACATGTTTCGTCCCCTGAAAACACTTCTTGAGACTAATAATAGTTTTAGTGAAGGATGTCTTATGTAGTAGGGAGGGAATTACAACAAATAACAGTTACAGTTCTACATAAACAAATGCTGAAGATAGAGGTTGCTCGACTTTAGATTAAAATTCTTTATTTTTTTTGTATTTCTTTTTAAATTTTTGAAAAAAAAAAAACAAAAGCAATAGAAAGCGGAACATGGTTGGATAAGTTATGCATGTAACTACACTGGATGCCAAAAATTTAAAAATTATAACAAGTGTTCATTGCATTTCATCTACCCCACCCAAATCCTTACATATATAAGACTTCATTGATAAAAAACATTATATATATATATATATATATTATTATTATTATTATTAACATTATATATATATATATATATATATATATATATATGTACATTGAGTGCTGGTTTTAATAAAATCATGCCCTCTGTGATATAACAGAGCTATTGAATATATATTAATATACATATTATTCCTCTTGTGCGGAATGATATGTATATTTATTAGTATATATATATATATATATATATATATATATATTAAAGACATTTTTATGTTTAACGTTCTTTTTATAGATACAAGTATTTAAGTAAATGCTCTGTTTATAATAAACAGTATTAAATAACATTTACTGGCCTGAATGTCCGAGAAATTTTTATAGAAAATATTTGTCCTTTGACAGGATTCGAACCTGCATCCTATACAGAACCGTCATTTACGCTGACGTGCCTTAAATGAAAATTTCTCGGACATTCAGGCCGGTAAATGTTATTTAATACTGTTTATTATAAACAGAGCATTTACTTAAATACTTGTATCTATAAAAAGAATGTTAAACATAAAAATGTCTTTAATAAATTGTCGGACTTTGTCCAATTCTTAATATATATATATATATATATATATATATATATATAAAAGATATCTCACATTAAGTGGTGGTTTTAATAAAATAGTGGTTGTGTAATACAACAAAGCTATTAAGTATATATTGATAAATATACATATTCCTCTTGCAAGGAATAACATTTATATTTATTAATATATATATATATATATATATTACTTCAAATGTTATTTTTAGTCGGTACCTGTATCTGAGTCAATGCCCCATTTCCTAAAAAACTGGATGTTTATTTGCCTGCATACTCGAGAATACTTAATAAAGAAAAAACGTGCCCCTCTGGCAGGGTTCAGCCCCACATTCCCATTGTAGTTGTAGGAGGAACCACCATTTGATCCAGTGTGCTTTAGACTCGGCCACAGAGATCTTTACTGCCCAGCAAGATTCAATGTACTCTTTTAAGCAATGCACATTCCTTTGTTCTGATTTTCTTCATTGCTCATATCGGCTTTGGTTTTGTATCTGAAACATAAAGAAAGCTATTTCTAAAGAATTCATGGATTTATTTTTAATCTAACTTTTTTTTATTACTCCAAATTTTATTTTTTGTGGATAGCTGTATTTAAGGAAACTCCCTGTTTTTTAAATAATGTGTACTACATTTACTAATCTGCACACATGAGAATAATGTCCAAGTGGTCTAAAGCATACCAGATTTTATATAAAAAAATAAGGGAATGGAATAAAACTAGTAACAAAATAATAATAGTGAAAGCACTCCATTTAAAACTAAAAAAAACTCAATGACAGGATAAAACCAATAATAAAATAATAATAATGAAAATGCTTCATCTAAAGAGCAATAGTAATAAAATGTCATAAAACTAGTAATAAATAATTATTTAAATATTTTATATTCAGATTACTGTCCTCATCTTTGTTGTTTTTATCACAACAATTTTGGCTGTTGTGCTCTCCAGCCTTCCTTAGGTGTATATCAATTTGGGTAACTGTTATACACTGTACCTATGAACACTAATGGGTATGTCCCAATTCTCATGAATACATTGGACACTATTGTAAGTGGGGGTAATATGCTGTATAAGTAGTCCACCAGTAGCAGTGGTTTACCTACTTCATGCCGCTGGCGAGTATTGTATTTTGTTGATGTTATAAAGATTACCATTTTAATTTCCAACCTCTGTTTTGGTTATTCCTCATTCAATAACCCTCTCTAGGTTACAACATTTTTGCAACAAGGATGAGATATTGACTCTGTGCAGAGTACATTTAAAGAGGTGGGGGTGTTATATACTGTATCTATGAACACTAATTGGTATGCCCCAATCTTCATAAATACATTGGACCCTACTGTAAGTGGGGGTAATATGCTAAGTAATCCACCACTAACAGTGGTTTACCTACTTCACGCCACTGGTGAGAATTGTATTTTGTTGACATTATAAAGATTTCCATTTTCATTTCCAACCTCTGTTTTGGTTATCCCTCATTCAATAACCCTCTCTAGGTTACAACAGTAGCCTACAAGAAATTCTGAATTGAACCATTTATTTAATCTATGGGAGTAGACTGTTCTTGTTCTATTGCCCATATCTAGGGATATTGTCTAGTTTTTATTTCCAACAAATTGTCCTATGGTCCTCGTGGGTAAAAGTGTTGGTTTGTGAATTTGGTGACATAGTGGTTGTGAGTTCAATCTCTGGGTTGAGTAGTGTGTACTTGCACTCAGTAGAAACAGACAACCTATTACTGAACAGTACTAAATAAAAATAAGAACTATATGATATCCCTAGACATGAGCAGTGGGAAGAGAACAATCTACCCCTGTAGATTAAATAAAGGGTTCAGTTCAGAATTCCCTGTAGTTGATATAAATCTGAGGAAGGCTGAAAAGGCACAACAACCAAAAAGTCACAATGGCTGAAACATTGTGATAAAAACAACAAAGATGAGGACAATTGTCTGAATATAAATAGTATAAATAATGGTAACTTCTCATCCCAGAAATTCAAACGAAAATTAGTAATAAACAATATTTTAATCACTTTGTCTAAAATGTCTCTCATTTTAGACAAAGTGATTAAAATATTATTTATTACTATTTAGTAAATCAAATAATAATACCAGTGAAAATGGTTCATCTAAAAAGCAATGATAAGCTAATACAATACACCAATAGTAATAATGAAAATGTTTCACAAAAAATTTTAGAAAAAAGAAATAATATCCAATATGCTCATATAATTAAGCATACCTTTAAAACAGCAAAATAAGAAACTGACTCTAAATCCAAGATAATCTATTTGTATCAACTGAGTGCAGCTGTTTCTACAGGATACTGAAAAGTCCATGTTGTAATAAATATGGTAATGAAGATGAGGATAATAGTCAGAATAATGTAAATAGTGTACATAATACCTCATCTCAGAAATATAGAGAGATGCAGAAAGATGCTTCTACTCAGAAAGAAACAGGAAAAGACAGGTGAATTTCTTTAGATGCATAGAGAGGATGGAGCGCTTGGAAAGCTTAACCCTGACAGGGTATATTGAAGGCAAGAGATATACGGAAAGTCAGTGAGCCATTTACCTGATGAGCTTGTGTGAACAGATAGTGTTTTGACCCCTTTCTGGGGGGGGGGTAACTATTTGCCCATAGCTTGGACCCTGACCCTGACAAGTGTTACCACCCAGGGTGGACCTGGAAACACCAGCAATTAAAAGGTGATTTCCCACTCCTGAAAACCTCCTGATCAGAGGCTTGCTGTTGGATGTAGTTTATTGTCATATCCAGGATGAGCCAAATACTGTACCCATTTTCTTAGATATGATATACAGCAAGTACAGTATACTGTAATTCCTCAAAAAAAAAAATTATTCATTAAGCTTTATTTTTCATTATATATTTATACATATTTCACCATAAAATTTTCTTTTTAAGTTATCGACAGTGTGAATTCAAATTTGAGTGACAGAATATTGTTAATAATTGTCATCAAATATCAATATGCTTCCATATTATCGTTACATAACAACACGTTATTTTGCAATAAGGTAGGGACCCAAAGGAAGCTAATAACTTGGTACTGTCTGCTATTATCTGGCATCCCCTGTGGCCTGCTTTCTCTCCCCAGATGTCATACACTTGTGTGCCCTGGGATTGTAGGAGTAGAGGGTTGCTGTGACTTAGCACAAATTATTACAACCATACCAACCTGTGCAAAGCATCTAGCTGTACTAGGTTGGGTCATCATCGATTTTCGATGGACTCCTTTCAAAAAAGTTTGCAATATTCTAAAATTTATTTTTAAAATGTTGAATTAGGTTGTGCACATGAACAAAGAATCTTTACAATACAATTTTTGTACTGACATAACTACTAAAAATTAAAAAAAAACGATTAGATTTGTTGTGGATACTTGTGAAGAAAATTAATGATTTGGTAGCATCTCTTCCTACATGTACTGAAGCAGTTTATTTATAGAGGTTTTGTTTTGTGGAAGCATATGGGAGAGAATGAGAGTGAGAATGTAATTATATATATATATATATATATATATATAAAA